ATTCTCCTAGAGCGGTTTTGTTCTCGGCGTGTCTGAGGGGCTGAGGTTGTTCCTGGAGTCAAGGCACAGAACAGAGAACCCAAATTACCTAGCAGCTCCTTTGGTGTAGCGCTACATATATTTTACCAAACATGTGAGATGATATTTGTGTGCACTAAAATTAATTTCAGTGTGTTTTAGTGAACATTTAGATTTGATAAACCATTGCCCAAACATCTTGCAACATACAAAATTGCAGTTACCATTATTTGATTCTATGGGCCCTTTACTTTCAAAATATAGGTAATGTTGTTTGGGGATTTTGAGTAATATTTAGGCCAAAATGAGCATTTTAACACGTGAGCATAAAATGAAAAAAAAAATGTTCTGTCCATGTCCATGTGTACGGGCAGCCTTCAGCTCCAATTTGTGGATGGTACCATTCATCTTATTGGGAGTATGGACTGTCAATTTAAACAAGTTACTTGCAGTCTTTCAGTAAGTTTCAGGTAGTGCAGAAGATTGCCAGCAGCTTGACAGGCAGCACTATTAGGATTCAAGTGTAACATCCCCAAACTCGTTGCCTTAGACTTCAACAAAACTGCTTGATGCTTGCTGAAAGCTCTGTTAGGGTCCTTTCACATGGGCTTTCCAATTATGCATCCGCATACATCCACTTATCTACAAGTTGACCAGGTCTGAAAATAAAAAATTGGAAAAGGACTGCATCCTTTCCTGTGTTTATGGACTTTAAGCATTTGTAAAGGCTATCTTTTTTTAAAAAATAATAAACATGTTACTTGTGCTGTGCAATGGTTTTGCATAGAGCAGCACTGATCATCCTCTTCTGGGGCCCCCTGCCGGAGCTCCAGCTCCCCTCTTCTCGCTGTGCCACTTCCTATGATGGCACACCTGCGGGCTCAATCTCGAGCTGCGCTGCGTGCATCTTTTGACACACACAGCGCAGCTCAACCTTGTCTCAGGATTTGATTGACAGTAGCAGGAGGCAGTGGCTCCTGCTGCTGCCTCTGTGAGCAGAGAGAGACGAGCGAGCCACTGCAGATGGGCACAGAACTGGATCAAGATACTACTCAAGTAAGTATAAAGGAGGGGGAGGGGTAAGGATGCTGGGACATTTTTTGCCGTACTACAGGGAAAGCTTTAAGGTAAAATGTGTCCAGACTTTAAAACCACAATAGACTTATGTAAATGGCCTCAAGTTAATTTTCATCTGGCCTTCACTAGATTCAACATAGGTCCAGAAAGGTCTGGAAAAAAAAAAATGAAACTGAATAGGTAGAGATCTCACAAAAGTGACAACTGTCCCATTCAGCAGAAGATCTGTTACGGATGGACTAGACGAGGATAGCCATGTGAAAGGGCTTTAAATGCTTTTTAAAAGCAGACACACCCTTAATGGCAGCTATCCTGAATACATCAATATTTCCCTCTGACAAGGTTTCACAATCAGAAAACCAAAATATTATTTGGCAGAATGAAATTACAATTTGTGAAATATCAAATATGAAACAGATGTTCTGCCTCTCTTAGGACCTCTAATGTGTCCCATTAGCCTTCTGGCCCTTGTATATACAGTATGGGTGTGATAACTAAATGGTACCTACATTAATGTAACAACTTTGATGAAGGCAACTCTATTAAAATAGGAATTACGGATTTGGTAGGAAAAAAAAGGGGTGTGTATTGTTTAGCTGTCCTGCCATACTATTTACAACAGGCCATATTGGAGAGGCCTCATTAAGAGTCTTTTACAAACCCTGCTAGTGGAGGTTTATGACAGGTCTACATTCTGTCAAACTTTCTCTGCTTTGTGTCACATGTTATTATTATTTCAGGTACTTATATAGTGCTGTCAATTTTATACAGCACTTTACATATATATTGTACATTCACATCAGTCCCTAACCCTCAAGGGGTGTACAATCTAAGATCTCACATTCATATACAAGGGACAATTTAGACAGGATCCAATTAACCTACCAGCATGTCTTTTGAGTGTGGGAGGAAACTGGAGTACCCAGAGGAAACCCACGCAGGCACAGGGAGAACATGCAAACTCCAAGCAGGAGGTGCTGTGGCTGGGATTTGAACCAACGACCCTAGTACTGCCAGGTGGAAGTGCTAACCATTTAGACACTGTGCTGCCCACATATGTCTTGAGTTGGGCTGTGTTCACCTCCCATGAACTCCTAGCACAGACATGAGATTTAAATCTGTTTCTGTCACCAACCTGTACATTTTGGAGAAAATTAGGGTGGTACAGTGTTCAGTACAACTTCCCACACAGTTTGGGGTTCATCAGACCTTACTATGAAAGAGGCCCACTGTTACTAGACGTTGGTTGTAGGAGGTACATCCCCAAAACTTTTTCATACTTCATACCCAATCAGTGACTATAAAGAAGAATGAGGATTGGGTGTGACACAACAGGAAACAACTGAATCTAGAGGATCAGCATGACGGCTGGATATTTAGCATTTTTCTTAGGACGTTTCCACCATTTTTCACATTAGCCGCACTTTGCTAAGGATGACAGATAAACTTATTGTTTCTTTATTTTTATCCCCGAAACTTCATTTCCATTTCTTCTTAGCTGTGGATTAACTTTCATAAACTGATTTATCTGCAAGAGTTTTTAATAACGTTTGTAGATGAGTATGTAATAGTGTCAGGAGATTATCAGAGCAGACAGTAATTAAAATGAAGGTGGAACAGCGATAAATGGAATTGTCAAACACCCCTCTGAATCCCTAAAAGTCCATAGAAAAAAAGCACCCTCATTATTCAGCTTCACTTTGCCTAGCATGGCAACTAACATAGAGCACCAGGACGTATGGCAATATCCTAGTTACATAGGTAATCAGGTTCCACCAATGAATCAAGATCCTAAAGTGACACTAAATCCTATCCTTATCCTTTTTCAAAAATAATCCATACAATTCCACTGCTTAATGGCCTTGTGATCTATTTTCCATGGAATGGTTTCTTACGCCTCCTTACAACATCCTCCATGATCTCCCACACCTCTACTTTTACCGCTCATTTATGTTTGGAACTAGCAGTGCATGTAAGGTCCCTTTCACATGGGCAAAGGCCTATGCATTCCTATGGACAGGTGGGTGTAAACAGACTTGTGTCCGTTTACACCCACCTACTTCCGGGTCTGATCCAATCCACTAAAAAAAACCAGAAGGAGATCCACCCTCTTCCATTTAGTGGGATCAGAGGGGGGTCAGGTGTAAACGGACATCATAGTCCACTTACTCCCGGCCACCCATAGGGCATCGTGTACTCTGTCCATGTTGTGTATAAACTGGGTCGACATGGACCTGTCATCAGCCCGCTCTGCCCTGATCAGCAGGGGACCTATGAGTAGATCCCCTGCTGATCGCAACAGAATCTGCCCTGTGTGGAAGTGGCCTTGGTTGAGGTCATGTGCACTGCTCTATGCATACTATAATGGAAATTGCACAAACCAGCCCCAAACCTCCTCTACTCATGTTGCCCATCTGAACTCCTTGCTCCTCCTCTTCTTGATGTGCCACCATAGGAAGCTGCATCCTATGGTGGCACACCTGTGGGCTCAATCCTGAGCCATGCTGCTTCTGTCCATAGACACAGACAGCGCAGCTTGGGCCCACCCCCTGATTTAACTGAGAGCAGTGGCAGCCAATGGCTCCCAGTGCCTCAACAAAACCTGTAAGAATGTGAAGTGAGAAGAGAGAACCGCTGCAAACAGACACAATGCTGGATCAGGTGCTGTAGGTATTGGGCGGGGGGGGGGAGAGTGATAATTTTACTTTTCATTTATCGATGGACTAACTTCAGTACAACTAGCCTGCCCAGAGATGGACTGAATCTCCTCCGCTCCTGCAGGATTCGATCCATCTATGGCCGGCTTTACCCTTTAAGCAACCATGATGTTAATAAAATTCATGCATTTTAGAAATTCTGGTAAAATAAAACAAGGTGTGAAAAAACGTTTTAAAGAAAGGTGTAAAGGTGTAGATAAGACGGTTAAATATAACCAATTAACACCTTTACCGCTTTTCCTTACAATGCAAAAAACAAGTTGACAGCACTGTAGAATTTGACAAGAACTCAAATTATCAGGATTATTAAACAAACCGTTCAATGTCACCATCAGGAAATTGGCACACCTTCCATTTATGTAGCATCTACATTTTTTGGGGAACAAAAAACCTTGCTACACCCTAGGCAATGCTTTACTGAGTATAGATAGACCAAAAAGAGACCATCAGTACTTCATATAGAGAAGACACCTTTTCTGGCATTTATAGACACATACCTTAAATGTAACTGTTTGGGGAAGCAGTAAGTCCTCATGCACATGGGACCAGGGGCGGACTGACCATTTGGAAACTTGGGCACTGCCCGGGCTCAGTAGGGGCCCCATGAGATGCCCCTGGTATCTTTTTCATAGGCTTTTTTGAATTTGGGCAAGGACACAGGGGCCCCATGATCCCCTATTGCCCGGGGGGCCCCATGAGTTGTCAGTCCGCCCCTGCACGGGACGGGTTTGATAACGCTGGTAATGTTAGCTGTGTAAAGTCACGTTAAACACGTGAGTTTTTCAGCTTTTTTTTTAGCATTTTTGCAATGGCGTTTTGCTGCGTCTGCGGTTTTTAGCATTTTTTTGACCCCCAAAAAATTTTTTGTGTCAAAAAAGTCCAAAAACACTGGTTTGCGGCATTTTACCACTTTTTGACACGTTTTCAGCATTTTTCAGCATTAGAGCAATTTTACAGCTAAAAAACTCCTCTAGAAACCCACTAGTCCTGGGGTTTTTTCCAGCCAAAAAACGTCCCAGCCAAAAAAAAAAACATTGATTCCAGTCTGTGTGTGGATGGACACATAGGATAACATGCTGGGGGGTTTACTGGCTGTAAAAAAAAATGTCAAAAGCCAAAAACAGCCGCTGTAAAAACATCCAATGTGCATGAGGACTTAAAGTGTTACTAAACCCACAGCCGTAATATCACTCTATATATACAGTAAAGCATGCTTGTTATACTCACTGTGGAACCTAAGGGGTTAATCCTCTGCATTGTGTAAAAAGGCTGTTTGATCCTTTCTTCTCTGATCCTCCACTTCTTCCAGTGCCCCCCTCTTATCTCCTGATAAGACATATTGTGTGGAGTCACTCTGCACTTGCTCAGTTTGGTGTGTATTGCTAGAGGGTTTTTTTTTTTGGGAGAGTGCATGTGATCAGCACAGGGCCAATCAGCACTGTCCAGACAGAGGTCAGGGGTTCTGCATCCTAGAGCAGAATGAAAACTCCTCCTAGCTTTAACTTGTGCTCGGCTCAACACTGATAGAAGTCACAAGACTGCTATATACCGCTGATGAGAAAAGGTATTTAGCAGTTTATATTTGCTACATAAATTGCATTTCCATGTTGTGTGTACTGTGGGAGACCGCATACAGTGAATGCAGGGCCTGGGCAGACCACATATAGTGAATGCAGGGCCCGGGGGGGGGGAGCGCACATATAGTGAATGCAGGGCCCAGAGAGACCAATTACAGGTACTTATATAGCGCATCATTTCAATTTACATATATATTGTACACTCACATCAGTCCCTAACCCTCAAGGGGTGTACAATCTAAGGTCCCTAACTCACATTCATACATACTGTACACATACTAGGGCCAATTTTGGATAGGATCCAATTAACCTACCAGCATGTCTTTGGAATGTTAGAGGAAACCGGAGTGCCCGGAGGAAACCCACACAGGGACAGGGAGAACATGCAAACTCCAGGCAGGTGGTGCCGTGGCTGGGATTTGAACCAACGACCCTAGTGCTGCCAGGCGGAACTGCTAACCATTTAGCCACTGTGCTGCCTGTTTTGGAGTTGATTTACTAAAACTGGAGAGTGCAAAATCTGGTGCAACTCTGCAGAGAAACCAATCAGCTTCCAGGTTTTATTGCCAAAGCTTAACTGAACAAAGTGAAGCTAGAAGCTGATTGGCTACCATGTACAGCCGCACCAGATTCTCAGTGCACCAGTTTTAGGAAAACTCCCCCAGCATGTCTCTTCTGCTTCCTGCTCACAGTTACAAAAAAAAACAGAAGGGCGCAAATGCCTAGCGCATTATCCAACGCACTTTATTAATGATGAAAGATACAAATTATACCCACAAACCAAAACAGATTGGTAGCATATCATGAATACATAAACCAGAAGTACACCCTCTAGCCCAGTGGTTCTCAACCTGTGGGTTGCGACCCCTTTGGGGGTCGAACGACCCTTTCACAGGGGTCCCCTAAGACCATCAGAAAACACATATTTCCGATGTGTAAAGAGCAGCTACTGTGTAGAAAGCAGCTGCTGTGTTGAAAGCAGCTACTCTGTTAAAAGCAGCTACTGTGTTGAAAGCAGCAGTATTGGAGGTAAAACGACACTCATGAATTATAATTACTGGCTAAATAATTTTATGGTTGGGGGTCACCACAACATGAGGAACTGTATTAAAGGGTCACGGCATTAGGAAGGTTGAGAACCACTGCCCTAGCCTCATAGGACCAAACAGATGACCGTACCATCTGACGTGTTTCGGGGGGGGCTGGCCTCCTTTCTCTGTGCTCGTCCCCGAAACACATCAGCTGCTCATCCATTTTTTCTAGCCTACCCCTATTAGGCTACTTTCATACTGTTCCCTTGTAAAAATGCGATATATGTGTTTTGCCGCATTTTGCCACATTTTGGTGTTTCATGGGACATGTGACTAAAGCAAAATGCACCAAAAACACAACCGCGGCTGCTTTTTTGATGCGCTTTTGCTATGTTTTTGATGTGGTTTCCATTCATTCCAATGGGTAGGTGCGTTTTTTTTCACAGCACCAAAAATGCAGCAAGCAGGCTTTTACAAAATGTAGCAGACCCACAACTGATCAGTGTGAAAAGTTCCACAGGATTTCATGGTCATGCGTTTTTTCTCCAGCTTTTTTTAATGCAGAAGAAAAACTGATCAGTGTGAAAGCAGCCTTAATCTGAATGATCTTGAAGTTTGTAAACGTATGATCCCCACACATTTATGTACTTGAATTCTGTGACATGTAGTCACTGTGCCCTGTGAGTAGGCACTGCTGTGTCACACATTGCACAGAGCCTTCCTTATGAACTACAGAGGTGCTGAGAGGAGGAGTCTCAGGAGGCGGAGTCAGTGTTTGCAGGCAGCAAGGTACCATGGGACATGTAGTCCTTAGAAATATAAAATAAATAGCAGCATACAGGAATAGCTGCCTGCAGCCAGCAAGGTACCATGGGGCATGTAGTCCTTAGAAATATAAAATAAATAGCAGCATACAGGAATAGCTGCCTGCAGCCAGCAAGGTACCATGGGGCATGTAGTCCTTAGAAATATAAAATAAATAGCAGCATATAGGAATCGCTGCTTGCAGGCAGCAAGGTACCATGGGACCTGTAGTCCTTAGATATATGAAATAAATAGCAGCACACAGGAATCGCTGCTTGCAGGCAGCAAGGTACCATGGGACATGTAGTCCTTATAAATATAAAATAAATAGCAGCACACAGGAATCGCTGCTTGCAGGCAGGCAGCAAGGTACCATGGGACATGTAGTCCTTAGATATATGAAATAAATAGCAGCATACAGGAATCGCTGCCTGCAGGCAGCAAGGTACCATGGGACATGTAGTCCTTAGAAATATAAAATAAATGGCAGAATACAGGAATCGCTGCCTGCAGATAGCAAGGTTCCATGTGATATGTAGTCCTTAGATACAGTATATGAAATATATAGCAGCGGAGAAGCTGCAAAGCATGCATGGAATTCAGGAAGTTGTGGAAAGAGGTGCCTAGCAGACAGGCAGCACTCACAATAACTCTTGTTTGCATTATTATTACAATGCTGATGTTATAAATGGAAAGAGTATGCTGTGACCATAGGATGTTCTGGTTCAGTACTTCTGCAGATGACAATGAGAACCCATCCAGTGCACACATCCTCATCCTGAGTACATTTTCAGTGTGATTTTTTATCTTGCTTGTCTTATAATGCACAGAGCAGATGAATTATGCATACGGTGAGGAAGGGGAGGCTTGGTAAGAATGTGCTTTTAAGGTAAAGACAGACATAAAAACATACTTCTCACTGTACACAATCCCCATAGAATACTAGCGCTGCAACAAACTTTACTTAAAAGGATTGTCCAGGAAAAGGCTGATTATTGCCGTATTGGGAGCTTGTAAAAGCAGGTTAATGGGGAAGTTTTCTTCATAGCTACAAGCAACAGGATGCTTTGGATTCCTTTTATTGTCACTTTAAATGTACAACTGAACTCCAGAGCTACATACACAACTGATACACCTGTACAGTATATCCCATAGTTTGTGGATAACTTTCCTACAGACTCAATAATATACAATGGTTTGGATTATTTTCTCTAAAGAAATGTAGCAGAATACATTTGTCCTAAATGTGAAGAAAGAATTATTATTTTATTTTACAACAGAAAGGAAGAAAAACGTTTTTTCTCTTTTTTTTTGTTTATTTAGTAAAAATAAAATAACCCGGTGGTGATTAAATGCCACCAAAATAAAGCTCTATTTGTGTGGAAAAAATGTTAAACATTTTATATGGGTACAGTGTTGCACGCTTGTGCAATTGTCATTCAAAGTGCAACAGTGCTGAAAGCTGAAAATTGGCCTGGGCAGGAAGGGGGTGAATTTTTTTTGCGCATTGAAATGGTTAATACAGCATTATATGCAGGGGCGGACTGACCATTTGGAAACTCGGGCACTGCCCTTGGGCCCGGGGTCACTAGGGGGCCCCATGAGATGCCCCTGGTACCTTTTTCATAGGCTTTTTTGAGTTTGGGTAAGGACACAGGGGCCACATGATCCCCTATTGCCCAAGGGCCCCATGAGTAGTTGTCAGTCCACCCCTGATTATATGCATGTTTTTTTTTTTAATGGAAGCAGTATAGGTACCTACATTTGACCTGGTATCAACCTCATGCAGTCCTTGTACAGAAGAGCTGGAGAGTGCAAAGAAGAAGCCAATCAGCCAATTGGCTTTCAAGCGTAGGAGCCAATCAGTACTTGCACTGACAAGAAGCCTGCTGTTAGTAGAAGAGAGCAGAGTGAAGGATAGATGGATACTGGATGTTTTTTTTTCCTGCATGCCAGGCCTCCAGCCTGTTTTTACTATCACAGACTGTCCCTCCAACATCTGATTCAGTGCATTCATGGCACAGTAGACATACTCCGTTGGATAACATCACAGATATACCTTTTCTTTTGGATTGGCCAAACCAGAACATTACATTTTTTCTAGTGCACTAGTTACCCGATTGCTTGACTGGACTTTAGAGGCTACAGCCCTTCATACCTAATACATATGTTTCTCAGGTTCATTACATTGCTCGTGTATTAAGGTTGTGTTCTATTGCAGTTTGCAACTATACAAAGGTATATCCCCTTGTCTTGCTACCAGGTGTGTTGGAGGATTGGACATTTGATCTAGCAGGGTCTTGGGGGTAGGGGGGTGATAGTGTGTCACACCTCAGCTCCCTTTTTTCCCTTTTAGGGAAGGGGGTGGCTGGTTGGGTGGGTTTTGGAAGGTCATTGTAGGAGGAGCATTGGGGTACCTTGGGGGGGGGGTGCACTTGAGGATCTGTTTTTGTTTTGTTTTTTGGGGGGTTGGAGGGTTGTTGAGGGCAGTTGGGGTTTTTGGGAGGTTTTCTTGGGAGTTGTTTGTGTTGTGCGGGTGTGGTATGCACACAGGGGACACTTTCTGTACCATCGGTGAGTGTCCTTTGTGGGAGATTTCCTCCATGCCGGTGGTGGGGCTCCTGATGATTGGGAGTGAGCACTAGGTTCCCAATGCAATGTGATTTTACTTTGTATGTTTTCTATGAATAAATACGTTTTGAGGTTAGCCTTTTAGGTGTGTAGTCTTTTTTCCTTGGTTTTTGTAGTGGTTTTTTTTTCTGCCCCTGGACACCTTGCTCAGGGGAGGAAAAAGCATCATTATAAACATGCCTAAAGCCATGTTTTGTAAATGAGTTTATGCGTGTTTTGGCACATCAAACGGTTGGGTGTTGATTTATTCCATTGACCAGATTCTCACCATTGGCATGAATGGACAGCCAAGTGCTAAACAGACCAAATGCTCCTCTCCTGAGTGCCCTGGCCCTGTTTTTTTAATCTGCTTCTAAACACCCGCACATGTTGTTTAGAGGGTGAAAAAAATGGGTCTTTAGAGGCAGAAAAAAAAACCTGTCATTCGCCTTTTAAAATCTGCATTTTTGATGT